CCCCCCCCCCCCCCACCACCACCACCACCACACACACACACACACACACACACCCAATGAGACTTCTCCTTATGGGGACCTGGCTTTTTTCCCCATAAAGTTCCCACAACGCAAGTTTTATTTTATTTTTTTGGTAAAATTGGTCCCTACAAGGTAACCTGAAACACAATTGGACATATATTAGGTAAAGAGGAAAATAAGCTAAAACAAAAATAAGTAAATACAAATAAAAATAAGCAGGGGAGTGGTTGTGAGTCAGACTGTAAGATGTTCAGTGACTTGCAATAGCTCTTGGAAGAACCCAATGTCTGATCAGAAGTTCCATCATTGCCCTTTGTTCTATTTTTTCCAATTGAAGAAATGACATAACATCTCCAAACCACAAAGAAACTGAAGGTGTCTTAGAAGATTTCCAAAAGGAGTAGAATACAACACCTGGCTAAAAGCGATGTAAAGACTAATACTTTAGCGTGAGTAGGGTCAGTTAGTACAGTTTTGACTGGAAGCCCCAAAGAAAGGGTTCATACAGACATGAATTCCAAGGGCTTTGGAAAGAATGGCCGAGGACTGACTCCAAAAGCTATGGAGTTTTGTGAACAGGGCCAAGACTTAAGTGAATATCTGCTGTCCTTAAACAACTAGAATTAAAATAAATAAATTATAGCAATCTATATGAACACTATAAACTTTTACACTTCTGTCAGTTTTGCATTATACAGTCATTTTACCAGAAATAATATTTTATTCTAGTTAGATATGTAACATTAAAACTGTATTCACCTGTTTTTCCACAATTGGTGAATTTTGTTCTCACTCCATCTTCATAAAAGGTCATTTAATTGTAAACTGTACTAAAAGTTTAAAAAGACTGTGAGGAAATCAATAAATGCTGTCATATAAATCAAGCTCCAATTGTTTGTGGTGAATGCTGGTGCAGTTTCTCAGTCATGGCAATCTTGAAACTTAATAGAAGGCACAGAGACTCCATTTCTTGTTATTTTGGGAAGAGTGAGAAGAGAAAACATGTTATATAACAAGTCAGGAAGTTCAGATGCTTTCTGCCAAACTGTTAGCTTTGAGAAGCAGTAGTCCTGCTCAGAATGTGCAGTTTGATGTGTGTTAGAGATTATCATGTTAGAACACCCAAATATGTCTAAGTTTCAGTCACATAGCTGTTGATATGAGATGAACTTGTGTAACACCAGTACCACAGCATGAACCTAGCACCACCAGGACAAATGGCAAGTGGTATAACATTGTTAGGTTTTAGGGCTGAACAGTTTTGGAAAATACTCTAATTGCCATTTTTTTAAATCTCAATATTGCAATTTAATATGCAATTATTTTTCAATGCCTTCTTTTCATGCACTTTTCAACAAACACAAGCAATAAATCAATCTGTTTCTGTGGCAAAAAACTCCACTGTTTTCAGCTCCACTGCAACTCTGTTTCTGCATTTTTTGTACAGCTCCGGGATAGCAACTTGGTTAAAATGTTTGTATGAAGGCATTCCCGGGTGCTTTCCATAGCTGCCCACTGGACCACCTGGTGGTGGATGGGTTAAATGCAGAGATCCAATGTCGCCATTGTATGGGAACATACAATGATGACAATACATACACAATATTATTATTATTATATACCGCATATCCATTGTGTTTGCCAAAGCCTTAAACCCAGGCTCAGTCACAGGGGGCCGAGATGGTGTAGAGGCATGGCAGCCGGCTTGGGACCCGAAAGTCCCAGGTTCGATGCACATCACGTGGCGTCTCTGGGCAGCACGCCTCATCCCCAAAATGTCCCCCGGGCGCTTTCAATAGCTGCCCACTGCACCACCTGGTGGTGGATGGGTTAAATGCAGAGACTAATTTCGCCATTGTATGGAAACATACAGTGCTGATATTGTGATGACATTATTATTATTATATTAATGGGCATCATGTCTTTCATTATGAACTCCATCCATGAACTTATTGCTCAAGTTATTTCCACGTGCCATTTTCAAATTATGTTCATACGGAGTAATACCTTCGAACAGTTCGGTCAGTGATCCCTATCGGCTGGTACTTTGCTTACTTGAAGTTGAAGAACCGGTCGTTGGCATTCTAGCCATGCAACTACTGTAAATGGCTTTGTGGTGTTATTTTAAGCGTTGATAAAGATTTGTGGTCTTACCTCGAGAGGTAGCAACAGCAGCAAAGCAGGTTCTGAACAATACATGTCATTGTGCAGCATCGTCTTTTTTATCGTCAAAATAATTCCAAACAACAGACATACTGCCCCTCTTTGGTACGAAACTTCCAGATGTATCAGCTTCTGTCAAGCCTGACACCATTGTGCAACTGGTTAAAGCGCAGTGTTGACTTCTCATGCTCCCTGCTCTGCTCCACTACGCTCACCCATACGTTACGTAACCAGATCATGTGACCAGTCAAACCGCAGCCTTTGCGATTAGAAAATCTCATTTTATCATATTGCAATATTATCTTAAACGCAATTAATTGTTCAGTCCTAGTTTGAAAGCCTCACGTTGACTCCTTCAAAAATAGTTCTTGTCAAGGTCAAATAACTCAGTTATGTCTGATCATATTTGTTTCTCCAAAGATATTTGGCTTGTCCATCAATCTTGAACATGTCACTTTAGCATCTACTCGGACAATGGTTATGTAAAAGTTGCTTTGTAGGAGGCTTTGAGCCTTGGTGGGTTGTTCCTGAACATGTTGAACAATTTCTCCTCATTCCCAGAGTAGATGTGAAAACCTTGTATTTGTCCATTGTTGTGTATATGGATACTAGTTCTGTGAAATAGATCCTCTTTATTCTAGCTAAGAGAAACTAACAGCTGCAGTCAATCATGCCAAATGTATCAGCGATAAGATGAACGTTGCATCCTTTCATTTCACAAATGTTCCAATGTTTAGCTTCAGGACACGCATGATGTTGGTTTGTTGTTTACTTGTTGCAGGTCAAATGGTAGTGGTCAAGCTTTTGAGTCGGCTGTATGCCGACATGCTGCTTTACAAACAAAGTATTGTTTACTATGAGCACTGCGTGTTCGTGTCCAGAGAGCTGAAGGACAAAAGACTGGAGGGAGAGTGTCTGGAAAAACTCAGCAGCTTCTATCTCTCTCTCAACACAGAAAAGTAAATGTTTTTCCCCCTCCCTTCTCAGCCACATTTTATTGCTTCAAACATCTGTTTTACACTGTCTTTCTAAATTTGTGGTGTAGATCATCTCGTAAGTCTCTAGACTACACCAAGCAGAGCCTGAGGATTTCTATTGATCTGGGCAAGAGAGAGGAAGAGTCAGAGACCTGGCTGCAGGTGGGACGCATCTACTACCTGATCCAGGAGGACGAACTGGCTGACATGTACCTGCAGGTATGGAGGAAGTTTAATAAGAGAGCATGGAGTGGTTGTGTTTGTAGTTAGTTCTTTTTATTTTTTCCTTGTTCCAGACTTGTTTTTTTTTTCACATATATTGGTATTCAGGGAATGCTCGCCTTCCCTCAACATTTCTGAACATACAGCAACATCAACAAGAGTCTTAACATGTTTGTGAAAGCACAAGTTGTTAAAAAGTTCACTTCATGGTAGGGATGGACGGTGTTGGATTTTTGGCTGATATTCGATACCAATACCTCTTTTTTTATTTTTATCTTAGACCTACTTATAGAGACTACATAGCTTTCTCTGGTATGGAATTAAAATACCACATTATTCTGCATGATATTTGTCAATTTGGCCTGCTATCAAATGCAGATGCCAAAAAGGGGGCTGGAAATTATGTAACACTACAACTTGGATTATGTTTAATGTCAAATTTATTCATGACATTTACTCTCTCTAACACAATGACAACACTCGAACCGTGGAAAATTGTAAATTTTTGCAAATCTACACTCAACCTGTTTACAAGCAACAAGTGAAAAGTGCATAAGTCGTAGTGCATTAATAGATATACACTTGACAGTTTCTTAAATTAAAAATTTATTTAAAACTAAAGCCTTTTATATAGCCTTTTTTATGGAATGGCTGATGTCCAATATTTAACTTTATCGCTAATATCGTCCGATATTGATAACATGTTGATAATATCGTGCATCCCTACTTCATGGACTACTTTTACATTTAGTTCACTTTCCTTAATACAAATCCTGCTAAATGTACAATCATCCTTGAGTATCACACAGATTTGTACTATTACCATTGAAAACTCATGTAAATATATTTGCAGGCAGCAGTGAAGACAGCCCTGAGGATGAATAATCCTCATTTTGCTATGAGCATCTATGAGGAGGCAGGAGATGTTTACTTCAAAGGTCAGAGAAACCGAAAGGCTTCACTGCTTTTCTACAGAGTAAGTGGGGAAAAAAGGAAAACTGTGCAGTTTGTTCGTGTCACATCTACCAGTACTATGCAATAAGGCAGTATTTTTCCAGAACAACTGTGCTAGGTTTATATGTTAATAATTATCTTTTGTTTTAATATTCTTGAGATCAGACAAATGCTTATTTTGATTCTCAGGATGGAAGTTTGCCATTTGCACGAAGCATCAAGGACATCCACTCAGAGTTTCGTGTGTTGAGTAAACTGACAGAGCTGTTGATGAACCAAGGAGAGCAGGACGAGGCTCTGCAGTACGCTACTTTGGCTGTTCAGATTGCTAACCAAACAGGTATGGAGCAGAAACATGAACTGAGTCGTATTTTATTCAAGATTTGAATTAAAGTTTGCAGCTTTTCTGTAGCATGCCTCTGTGTCAGAATCCATTTGTTTCTCCCTCAGGAGTGCGTGAGAATGAGAGGACTGCCTATCATCGGCTGGCTACAATTTACTACAGCCTGCAGCAGTACGAGATGGCAGAAAACTACTACTTGAAGTCTCTGTCTCTGTGTCCGCCTGCTCTGCATCACCCCAAGGAGGCTCAGTACTACACTAAACTCTACTGCAGATTGGGAAACCTTACCCTCTATGAACTCAAGGTAATGGATTTGTGTTGTCAGCATCACATGAACAGGTTAAACAGTAAAGGTTTTTATTTGGCCAGTACCAGTTTTTAAAGGTCAGCTGATTTATGAGGCTTTTTTTTTTTTTTGGCACATAAATGGACCAGTTTGAGAGTTTGCGTGCTATGGAAACTCCTGCAGAGAGTACTTTTTATTACATTGTATTAGATTTTGGGGAGAATAAAAACATGTAGCCCTGTGGCCTGAGCTGTACACATATTAACCTTTCCTACAGTTTTTTGAAAACTTAATGCATTTCTGTGCATAACGTTAGCCATCTTTTCTTTGATAAAATATTACATAATTAATTATATGTGGCGTTAAAAGATAAGACTCAGACATTGTCCACATAAAAAACAGTCATTAAAAAATGTATTTGTTGTTTCTAAATTTTTTCTCGGGAACACAACACTGTTTCTACACGTCTTCATCCACATGAAAACACAGAAAAAGACACTATAGCAGGGCTATTCAACTGGCGGCCCGTGGGCCACTTCCGGCCTGCAGGTGACTTCAATCCGGCCCACCAATGAGTTCTTAAAAAAATATAAAAAAATTGTGGGGGATTCTGGGTTTGGTTTGGGTTCTGTTTAACGCATTTATGATTCAATGCAACAAAATAAACAAATGTCAAAGGTAACAGATCATTGTAATACTTGGTTTATTTATATAATGACTTTAATTGCTGGATGTCCGGCCTCTGACCAGCTAGATTTCAGTAAATGTGGCCCCCTGAGCAGTTTAGTTGAATAGCCATGCGCTACAGTAAAGGCTCCCAGATACTTGGGCATACTGTGTGTACTCACCGTTCACAGACAGTTGAGACTTCATACTCGAGCGTACACCCTGATGGGCTGCAGCCCAGCTCTGCAGGCAAGGGGCATTTGCCTTCGGGACAAATTGAGGTCACCGATTGGTCATTTGCTGACACGCCTACTGGATTGAGACAGGTCACAAAAAACAAACAAACAAACAAACAAAAAAACAACCGAGAGCTGCCAGCGGCCCTGGGTAGAGGCAGCTGGCAGGCCAGGAGCAGCTGTGCTCTGTGTTTATATGTTGTTAATAACATTTCTAAAAAAAACAACAAAAAAAAACAGGGAGCGCTGGCCCTGCAGCCCACACATCAGACCAGCCCACCAGGAAATCTCCAGACCCTCTCGTAGCTACGCTGGGCCTGATTTTAATTCTCTTGTGACAAATTCTATTATTTCTCACAATTTCAGTCATGGCATCAACGAACGAGGAGGAAGAGATCGATTGCCTCTTGGAAAAAATAAAAAAATAAAAGAAAAGGCCATTAAACCAGATCAGGGATGAAGAAGGTGAATTTAGTACATTAGTGTTGCATACAAAACAGCCCATCACTGGGCAGTTTATTGTGCAACACAGAATACACATACGCAGTCATAAAAATTGATCTTTGCGCGGACATGGTTTGAGGACGTCCACTTTGAGATTGCTTTGAGTCTAATCCAGTATGTACGGACCTCTGCGGAGTGAAGGACGCCCCAGTATGTGGGAGCCTTAAATTTGCCAGGCATGTACGTTGCACTGTATCACTGCCAGGAAAATACACCAAAAACAGGAAACAAGGTGAAGAGCATGTGTACAAAGCTTGCACCCTGACATTTCATTATTGTTGTTGTTAATACGGTTAATGAGCTTGAGGTCGTAGGTTAGGTTAGAGGTGACATGACCATTTTCATAAAGTTCTGTTTTGGCTCTCTAAAAGATTGTTTGCACTCTCGTACTTGTTTAATTTTATTATTTAAACTACTCGGGGCTCCTAAACTCTGCTTCTATGCAAAGACAAGGCTAAAATAATAAACAATGTTAATTCACAAAACATTGTTCTCATGTGAACCACATCTGAGAGCCAGTTTATGAAGCTGATTTCATTCTATGTTTGGATCATATATATGGCAGATTTGTAATCAGCAACTGTGCAGTTTAATAGATTCATTTTTAAATTGCTCTTGAGCCATCAAACCTATTAAATATAAGGAGCTAAATAATAATAATAATAATAATAATAATAATAATAATGTGTATGTATTGTCATCATTGTATGTTCCGATACAATAAGACAAAGTGTTTGAATTTCCGTTAATAACCATGTAATTTACATTTAAAAAAGTTACCATAACAATTGTGTCATATTCCTATGGGACCTCCTGCTGTATTAAATGAAAAAAATTAATAAAATCACCTCAGTTGTGAAAAGGTCCCTCATTCTTTGTGGAAAGTGCAATCACAATGAGCATGTCTATGGAGCACCATGTGAAGTGGAACAACACTGTGCTGCCCAAAGATGTGCCTGACTTTTAATCAGCTATATCTGCACAGGTGTGGCTGACTACTTTTTTTAAATGGCAGTAAAAACAAAAAAACTTAAATAATTGGTATAATTGCTATTTTCATTCACATTAGAGCATAAGTTAACGCACTGGTCCACTAAACCATAGAAGCCCATTGTGAATGATATAGGGACATCTAGTGGTCTAAATTACAAAGTACAACCACCTTCATCCCCATACTTTTATTTTTGGAGTAACTGTATGCATTTTTTCATGAAAAGCAATTTACAACAATTGAAATCCACCCTGAACATGTACCAAATTAGTCTTTTGGTTTTGATATTCTAAACTCCGTTTTGTACATTATTTACAGGATGCTTTTGATGCAGTGGGCTACTTCCAGTTGGCTCTGGCAGCTGCTCTTGAGGACCAAACAAATCCCAACGCTCTGTATGTGGTGTTCATGAAGTTGGCTGAGATCCATTGCAACCACTTGCCCGATGCTCATTTGTGCCGAGCTTACAGAGACAGAGCTCAGAGTCTGAAGAGAGTTTTGGCTTTCATGGGTAATTCTGCTGCTCAAACGGAGAACGTGGACGATGCAGACAGACAACCTGGCCAAAGGAGGGAAAAGTGCTTGGATGCTGATATGGGATACGCTGAGAGGTGTCAAGACAAGTCAGGTCATAGACTTTGTACAACCAACACTAACTCAGAGGAAAGATCTGCAGACGTGAATCGTGGAGAGGATGCCAGTCACAAGAGTCAGAATCATGGTCCTGCTGACACAGACAGTCAGTCCTATAGCGACAGCATCCAAACTGGGTCTTTTGACATGGCTAAGGAGCACATCTCGGACTCCAGCAGCATCACTGACACCTATCAGAACCCAACAGATGGGAAAGACTCAGAGATGGATTCTGACCACAGCATGCCCAGTCAAATACCTGCCAATCACATAAGTGAGGTTACAGGACACACAGATACCAGAGACACTGATTCTGACACTCAGGGAAGTCAAAACACCCCCACTAAAGACACAGATTCTGATGCGACTCAAACAGAATCCGAGGAACATAAACTTTGATAATAAGCACATATTTCAACTCATCGTTTCCCTGTGGCACTTTATGATTTACAGACATTTCCTTTCTTATCTGGTCTCCTGGACAGCCATCTGAGCACAGCGTTCCAGCCAAATGGCAATTTTTATACAAAGTATGGTGTCAGTACTGTAACTCTTTCAGAGTTTTACTCAATTTAAAGCATGTCTAATTGTTTAATATATTCTTAAGAGTTAAAATTCACAGCACTTATAGGTTTTCTACATGGCTTGATTTCTTGTGGAGATAAATCGAACATTACAAATGGTATTTTGGCTGCTGAGTTTTCATTTCACCTGTTTAAAAAATACAACTAGTATGAACAAAGAAGTATCCCGGATACCATAACAATTTTTAATGAAATTTTTACTGTATTTTGGAAACCTGATTAAACATCAAAAAGTGACATGATCTAATCATTTTGAAGATGTTTGGTATGAAGGGGCTCTGCTGAACTAACCACAGTTTGAACTCTTAGGTAAGACATTTATCCTTCAAATCAAAAACATGCATGCGACATGAAATCATATGAATTTTTTATGCATAAATTGGCCCATCAATCATGTAATTCATGTTTCACAATAAAACACCCCCACATACACGCACACGAGAATGCTCCAAAATAACACAAAACTGTAAAAAAAAAAAGAAAAAAAAAAGAAATAATTGAAAACTTTTGTTTACACAAGTTGCATATATTTTATTTTATTTGAATTAATGTACTTAAATCCTAGAATTCCATATTTTCTGTTTTTCTAAGCCTTTTTTTCCCCTTATTTTTGTTAAAAATAATGTAAAAAACAATAGGTTCACCAGTTTGTCATAATTCCACAGATTTGCTCAATAAATTCCAGTCATTTTGAAGTGTGGTTCTGTGGGAAAGTTATTAAGAAATCTGAGTTTACCAGTTGTCGTCAGTTTTGTGAACCACATCAGTTTGGAAGAGGTTCTGCTCAGAACGTCTATTTTTCAATGTGACTCTCATCATGTCTGGATTAACCCTCCTGGGTTATAGCACAGTTGTTTACTTTGGTATAATAAAAATGATACAAATTTATAGAATATTGTGAAAAGGAAAAAAAAAACCCAGCAAAATAAAAACACTGAATTGTATAATTAATTCAGTTTTGTACAATAAGCCAAATTGCAGAAACAACCTCAAGAGGGCAGCATCGTACAAAATTTATATTTTAGTAAGAGTTTATTTATTTATTTTATTTTATTTTAGATTTTTTTTTGGGGGGGGGGGTGAACAATCCCACATGCAGCCTGTGTTGTATCTGGAGCTTTTGTAGAAGTGACACAGAATTGTTTTCATCATGAGGATGATTATGGCAACAAAAGAAACTTAAGTAAAATAAAAAAGTGTCCTCTAACAACTCTGTTCATATACATA